AGGCAGGAGAGCCTTAAAACAGAAGAGCTGTTTAAAAAGTTAACGATGCCTCTTTTGTCATTTTCTTTTCTTTTTGTGTAAACGAGAGAGTTTATTTGTGTATTTAATCCTTCAGACAAAGAAGGCTCTTCGTAGTAGTGTTGCTCACAAGCACCTCCAAGCTTCATTCCCTCGTGACAGCCTTGGATTTTAAGCAGTGCCGTTCTGCCCGTTGCACAGGTCTCGACTAGCGTGAATATTTATGTTTTCACATGCCAGCTGAGCTGCAGCGCTGCAAAGCGAGCCAGAAAGAAGCATCATGTTTTTGTCTCTCTTCTAAACCAGAACCCCACAAAGTGCTGTTCGTTGGAAGATTTTTATGCTTGAAAAATCCACACTGTACCTCCACCTCATTTTAAATACACACTTCCATAGTCGTGGAAAGGGGAGGGTCTTAGCTTAATGCCTGAACCTACTGGGGCCTTACTTTTCACAGAGGGGAACTGGTAGCTTTTCTTTTATACAGATATATTACTTCATTTATCTTTTTTATTATTTTTAATAAAATCATTAAAACAGAATTGTTTCTAAATTAAATCTTGATCTGCAGTCCCGTATTTAAGAATAAAATACACTTTTCCTCTTATTGTGCAGTAGGCCAAATTTTTTTAAAAAAATCTACAAGTAAAATAGGATAGTGATGTTGATTATCATCACGGTGTTAACTGCAGCATCTGCAAAAAGTATTACTTCTTTGAATCATTGTGATTTTAAATATTCTTGAAAATAGCTTATTTCATTACAGGTAGCTGTTCTGGAAAGGTGAAATTACGTGAAGAATTAGACAGTTCACTCTATTAAGAGAATATGAAATCTGTAGTCTTATAGTATAAAAACGAAAGTTTTCACAAAATAAAAGGTGTTAGATAGTAGAAAGTATGACCCTTCGTACTCTCAATAGTGTGACCCTTCAAAGAATCATGCAGCTAGAAAACATAGTAAACATTAAATGAAACATTTTTGGGGTGTGTTTGTGTAACTAAAGGGGGGAAGTTCATATCCAGGAACACTTGCAAGTGATTAGTTGTGGAGGGTATTTTTGTTCAATGGGTTATGTTTTGTTTGTTTGTTTTTCTATCTCTCTCTTTTGCCTCCACTTCTTAAGGGCACAAAATGTCTGAGGTTAAGCAGAGGAAAAGAGGTGCTGCTTCTTCCAAGACCAATGAGGATTCACAAAAGGCCAAAAAGGACAGTAATCATGGGAAGCTGGTAAATCCCAGGACTAGCAATAATAGGAGTTCCTCTTGGATAGACTCACGGTCAGCCTTGAGCCTGATTTCTCTTGTCATTTGCCTGGTGCTGAGCTGGTAGGTAATCCTCTGTAGTAGATTCCTTTGTGATTCCGTCATGGACAATATGATTAGTAATGTGTGAATATAGCATTTGGGTTAAAAGCCTTTTCTTCATGGGAACATATAAAGCAGGGACATGTAGCTAGAAAGCATCAAGAAAAGAACAGTGATAATCACAAGAAGTATGGAAATCCTGTCATACAGTGAGAGGTTATAGAAGCTTGATCTGTTTTGTCCTGTTGAAAGCTTAGCAGATGCCTTGCTCATGAATTGTAGATACCTGCTTGGGTGACCACATGTAATTGTAAAGAGCAAATTAATCTGACAAAAAGTGCAAGGCTCAGTGGGCAGGAAACAAACCATCAGTGGATTGAAGTACAGCTGTAAGTACTTTGCTCAGTAATGTGGCAGATTGCTCATCAAGTAGAGTCTTGAAATAAACATCAAATATCCTTGTAAAAGGTGTTCTAGAATATCCGCATCAGTGTGACATCAGTACCTAGCGATGGCACTAGGTGTCATCAGTATTTTGGTTCCTTCAGAAGCTACGAGTGTCGTGCAGAAACAATATGATGAAATTCTCAGAATTCTAGTGCAAGAAAAGAAAACAGTTTTAATACATTCTTGACTTTAGTCTTCAATTTCAGGCAAAAATCCTGTTTATTTTAGTATTATCTGGATTTCTTTATGTAATTTTTTGAGAAACAGAATGTTGTAACAGAATAAAATAAAATGATTAATAATGCCTGTGCTTAAGCTGTTTTACAAATATATATATTTTTGTATCTATATAGATAGCTTTTTAGCTTTTATTGCATAGCTTAGTATATGCAGACTGTATTGTAGATCTTTTGAAACTTATATTAATTGATATGCAATTAAACAAAACCAACTGTAAAATTACAAAAGCAAAAATAGAGTATTTAAAATTGTCTGTACTGTTCTAGATGCATTTGTTCTCATCTGAGAGGATCTTTGGATAGTCTACATCTACATATTCTATCCCTGGATGGTCTACCTAGTCATCCATTTACCTTATTTGGGAATTGATAAGCATTCAGCAAATTTTTTTTTTTTTTGCTCAGCTGTTTCATTTCCTTTGTAACTTGACAAAATGTTGACAATCCAGCTGCCAAGGTCACAGTAAGCAAATGTAACATATATACGAAGTACAGGATTGAGATCTCCACTTCTTCACTTGTTCACAAAACTAGTGTCATCAGAACAACAGCTATTCAAGGTTTCCTACAACACACCCATAGGTTCTTGGATGGTTACAGTTAAACAAAAATAGAGCTAACCAGCTTTTCTAAATATGAAGTTCCTTTGCATGATTTTGTGATGCCTTGCAAGAGTCAACATTTTATTTAACTGTATTTTATTTCCAACAGTTACATAATACTTTTTTTTTCAGTTTGATGGGCATGCTATGTAATATGTAAAATGAGGCACCTTCTAATGTTTCCTTATTTTTCTGCTTTTATTGGAAACTGATAAATCTATTAAGTCTCATTTAAACCCTATAGTTTTCCATCGTATATTGATGTAGCAAATTTTGTGAATGCAGGTATTTGTGAAATCAGATCCTATTATTATATATGCCAAATATACTATGATTTACTATTTACTTTTTTATTATTTCCAATTTGCAGGCTCCTTTTTCAACAGTCAAATCAATTTGCTGATATGGAGAAAAAGTACATTTTTTTACAGCAAGAAGCTGAAAAATTCTTGGACATGGGAAATAAAGTTAATTTAATTTCTGAAAAGGTAATGATTAACATCTTATTAGATAATCTGTGAACATTTGCCAGTGTGTTATTTAATTGTCATTTAGTCAAACGTAACTAACTTTCCAAGATAAATATTTATAATGTTCTATTTGTCTGTGGGTAGTCATTGTCTGAGTATTTCACTGGAACATTTGTGAAAGATAGCACGTGAAATCAGGTCTGACTTCTGATGTGTTACTGTTTCGTGTATGGATATGCCACTGAATATAATGGAGTCTTTTTCCCTTTCTTTGTCAGTTCTCTGCACCTTTAAAATAAATGTGATTATCTACTTCTCTGTGAAATACTCAGAAGACAAAAATAGTGTAAAACACTAATGTATTATATTTGAAGTAGGACAACTAAAAAAGAAAGTTGATGCTATGCTGCTTAGAATTAGTTATTTAAACTCTTCTTTATTAACTGTGTGTTTGTATTGGAATACCAGCCTTACTGAAGGAGATTAACAAGGAAATTGTGCTCCTGATGAAAATAACGGCAAAAGTCTTGCTGACTATCAGAAACAGTGCTTTACCATACAATTTAAAGCTGAACTTATGTCCTTAATGATGAAAAATAATAATAATAATTATTATTATTTCTGTGCTGTCTTGGGAAACAAATTTGTGTTAATTTTATCAATGTGATGGTGTCACATAGTTGTTTGTAATCATTATAGTCATTATATCCCAGTATATTTTTGCAGACACTACACTATTTTAAATAATTTATGCACAAACCTAATTCTGCCAGTACTGTTCTGCATATAATTCAAATTTATACTGATTTGAAGAAAATTCACAAGCATTTTTGTATTATAGATCAGTTTTAGAAATATGAAAGATATACCGAAGCAGCAGCTATGTTTTTCCCCTTGCTGTTTTATTTTCCTTTCTGTATCACATTAGCAAATAAAAAACGTAGGTTGACTGCAGAAGTATTCATGTATCTTACAGATAATGATGGGAGTACAGCATGGCTTATAGCAGTAATGTTATTTTAATGATGATCTCATAATGTTCTCATTTATACATGATGTAATTTGGCTATTTATATAGCACACTTTGCTTAGTTTCCATGGAACATTTTGCAGTATGATGTGTTTTACTAAACAAACAAACATCAAAAAGAACCCACTGAGGAAAATAAGGGCTTGACAACAAAGAAAATGGCAGGTGTTCTATAACAAAACAACAAATATACTCTTTTCTATGACTCTTGCATGCTAGATTACTCAGCAACAATATTTTAAATATCAACTGTGGAAACAGTATTATAGGAGGTCTGTAAGAACCAAAGTGGCTTCTAAGGGCCTGAGTCTTGCAAATCTTCATTGCCTTCTGTTAAATAAATGCAAGTAGTCTTCCAGTCTAATCTCATTAAGTAGACATGGACATTGTTTTGTGTTACAAATGCAGCTTGAGTCTTCTGAAAGTATCCTACAAGAAGCTACCTCCTTCAAGTCTGTGGTGACTGGGTTTGAGCAGGAAGTGTCTTCTCTTCGTAACATCATAAATGATATTCGGAACAGTGAACAAACTCTCTCTGTAAAGATGCAGAGCATTAATGAGAAGTTCCAAAATATTACAGATGCCTGGAGAAGCAGCTTGGGTGAAATAACCATGAATACTACTGGATTAAAATCTGAAGCAAAGTTCATACATACAGAAGTTACTTCCCAAATTAACGAAGCCGATCAAAGAATTAAGTCCCTTTCTGAAAGATTAAAAGATTTGGAAGACAGTACAGCCAGAAATATTAGAACTGTGAAAAGGCAAGAGGATGATGAGTTCACTAGAATCGAACAACAGTTGCATTTGCATGCAAAGACAGTTGGAAAACTAGAAGAAGAGCAGAATAGTTTGTTAGCCAAAGATGCAAACTTAAATCAGAAATTTACAGACTATGAACCCAAAATTGAGGAGTGCAAGACCCATTTGCCAACAATAGAAAATGCTATTCACTCCATTCTTCGGTTATCAAGGGAATTGTTAAGTATGGAGGAAAAGATAGAAGCCTTGACAACACAGCTGTCTGCTGTGGAAAGGGATATGGTGAAAACTGTGTCTCGCACACTGGAGCTGCAGGAGGTTCTTGAAGGCACACAGTATGATACTGGCATATTGAAAGCGCAGAATAAGAGAGTGGAGGAAGTAGCACCTGATGTAAAGTTATCTTTAAATACTAAAGAAATAACAACCCAAGACTCTTAACTCAGAAAATGATCAGAGTGAGGATAAGATGTTAATTTGGACTTAGGATTTTCATCGATGGAAAAACACTTTAATCAGTATAGTTAATGTTTCTGTGACTGCTTTCATACAGTAAGGATGGCTGAATATTGTGGTTGTTTTCACTGGGTAATGGATCAGATTTGAATGAAAATTAATAGTAAAGAGGATAGAGAGCCAGATATAGTTGGAGGAGGCAAGAAGTATTTTTTGATAAGTATTATTTGCAACATGGAATGTTGATTTTTTATTAAAATGGATTTTGAAGCACAGTATTTAGATAAAAGAATAAAACTAAGATTATTTTTTTCTACTTGACTCTTTATATTGTATTTTGTTATTATATTCCATGGACTTGTAGCACAATGAAAAAAATAAGTAATTATCTCTAAGCAGAGATAATATGTATTGTAGATTCCTTTTAATGTGTTACCCACCGTAATATTTGTTTGTGTTTGCAGCATATACTCTTGGGTGTCAGAATTGTTGCTGGAATCTCCATATTTTATTATGTAGAAGAAAGCACTGCAAAGTACATTTCTAACTGCTTATACTGAAGCTTGGATGCAACAGCATGGTACAACAAAAAATAGCCCTACTGATAACCCTTTCATGAAACTTGTATTTATAAGCAAGGCCTTACATAGCAGCTGGTGTTATCTTACATTTTTTTGACTCTATATAGTGGCCTTATTACACCACCCTTCCTACAATTTAATCCCTAAAATCACTGTCATTTTGTTACGCAGTGAAGTGCTCAGACCGCATAAGGACTGAAGTTCTTACTAGCAGATCGGCCTGTTATTGCTCTTCCATTGCTTCATTTGTGCTTGGTGATCAGTCACTTTATTAGATCCTCTGTACTGTTAGAAACAACTTCTAACCTTGTCTTCTGCAGGCTGCGCTCTGCTGGGTATTGCTCAACACATGTGGTATTGCTTTGTATTCCAAAGTGGAGGAACAAGAAACTGTTAAGAGTGTCCCCTTATACTGTTTCTCAAACTTCGGTCAAATAAGAGCTGCAAAATAAGTTACTGCAAGCTGTTCGGTTGTGTACTTCTGGTGTCTTAAAAAAACAAAAGTTTTTTCACAGACCTACTTGCACCAGAAAAAAATATTGCATAATAGGTCTTCAGTGTACATTAAAATTTGGATCTCAAGACAGCCATACATTAGCATCTACAGATTTAAATCTATTAATTTCAGATTTCTCATTTTTGAATTCAGGAAAATAAATTGCTTAGTAGGTAGCGTGAATTCCTTGTGAATTAGTTAGGTCTGAATTAAATTACTTTTTGGTGTATTAATTTACCTAGAACTCTACTGAAATCTAATAAAGAGTTAGTAGTGCAGTTTCAAGATCCTATTAAACTTAAATTTGCAAATGTTATAAAATCCTTGGGAGTCTTTTACTTTCACAGTGTTATGTCCTAAAAACAGGGCTTCCTCTCAATTTAAATTTCAGAATAGTAAAATATTTCATTAGACTATGGCTTTAATTTTGATGCGAGTTGTCAAATATTTTTATTTGTATCTCTCTAGTGTGAAAAGACTTGGAACTTAATGGAACAGCTGGAAAGTCGTCAATTAATTTCTCACGTTAAGCAATTCCAGGAAGATATATATACCATGAAAACATGGTCTAGCAGCTTAATTCAAAAAGAAGAAGAACTGCAGAAGAATTTAACAAGCCTTTTTCATGCAGTTGCAAGTATTGAAGAGAATACAGCTTCTGTAGCAAAAAATATAACTTTGAAAATAGTGACAGTAAAAACTGACATAAGGCGCATTTCAGGCCTGGTTTCAGATATGTCTGCTTTGACAGATTCTTTACAAACACTAGAAGATAAAGTGGATAAAGGTGAAAAAAAGACAGTAGAAAACATAGGTGACCTGCTTTCCAGTAGCATTGACAGAAGTGCAAAACTACAAAGCTTGGCATCCAATAATGCAAGAAGAATTGAGCAAATTAAGGCAGCCTTATCAGAATTAAGGAATGATTTTAACAAAAATTCAGATAGGCTTTTGAATCTTGAAAGTGACAGAGTAAAGGTGCTGAAGACAGTTACATTTGCAAATGATTTAAAACCCAAGATGTACAATCTAAGGAAGGATTTTGCCATCTTGGAACCTTTGTTAAATGATCTAACACTGAGAATAGGAAGATTAGGTGAGGATGTACTACAATGGGAAAAAGAAATTGCTTTATTGAATGAAAAAGTGACAAATTTAACAAGAGGTCAAACTGAAATCAAAGACATGAAAGATGAAGTAACCAAGATTTCAGACGTGAATTGATGGCTGTGAAATGGCACTGCCTGAGTAGTGTTTAAGGCACGGTAACTTCGTCACACACAGTAGGAAGAAGGAGGGCAGTATTTAAAGGCTTCATTTAGAAGCAACCCAAGCAGAAGATTGTCCTCTCCTCACGAAGAGCACAGCAAAATTCTTAGCAATGTAAAGGAGAAGCAATCAAGCTGCTCAAGGATCAGCAAAGAATGTGTCTCTGCAGGTGTGCGTCTTTCTGATGGAAGACAGGTGCTATATTTAATAAATTCCTTGTTTTGTACAACAGAACTGTGTAAAAACATAAAATGTTGTTCCTCACTATAGAGTTTGCTTTCACCAATAAAGCAAGACCCAAGATGGACATATCTTCAGCTTCCATTTGCTACTCTGAAGGAAGGAGTTTAAACACAAGTTCATAAAACTACGCTAGCAGTTTAATATTTGTCCCAGTACATTAACTCTGTGATTAGCTTCCTTTTGTAAAAATCTGTATTTAAAAAGGCAAATACAGGGATCCCCAGAAATACTGTTGATGCTCTTTAAAAAGGTTCGTTCAGCATTCAGCTAGAATAATTTGTGAAAGATTTATGGCGAAGAATTTCTGTGCCTTCTCATCACATCACTGTGCAGCATTATGTCTATGAAACAGAATCATGTTTATAGGTGAGCATTTTCTGAAAGACCTACTAATACTAGTAATGTCCTTCTCTCTGTGTTGCTCCATCTGCTCAGGAATCCCAACAGTATTACTAAATCTTTGTTAGTTAGTCTATAAAATACCACAGGGAGCAGCAAAACTAGGTGCTCAGAGGTATTACTAAGTTCAGTGTTAGTCCTTGAAAGGGGAATCTGTGGCAGAGATGAAGATATCTGAGATACACACTTGAAAATGGGGGAGGGCATAAACCGAAGTGGCACAGTAGTAAGTTTAGCAGAGGAAAGAAGGTGAAATGCATTAAATCAGAATAGCAATGACTATAAAAACAATTAGGAGAGAAATAGCAATTGAGAAAATCCTTATAAACAAAATTGTATCAAGGAGTGTTGGCCTACAGTAATGCTTTTATAACTTCTCAATTGCTTATTTGGTCAAACCCGAACGTCTTGCCTATTGGACTATGGATTAAATAGAAATTGTATTTTTTCCCCTCCCTCGCTATTCTTCATCTTTTGGCCATCTTCATGTTGCTGGCTGGTCTTCTGTACATTGCTTGCTTTCTGTCTTGCAGTTTCTGCTTCTTTCCTCCAACTTTTCTCTTTTTGCTATGGGTCCGTTCCCATCTCATTTTTTTTTTTTTACCCTTTTCCAGTCTACCTGACATCCCACAAGGATCAACCTGTCAAAAGACAAGTCATTTCAGAAAGTATTCACAGATACTGCCTGCCAGCTAGTCCCTTGACAAGGTCCCTTTACTCTTTCACACACACTTAAGTAGTATCTACAAACAAACAAACAAAAAATGAAGGTATCTGAAGGAGAAAAAAAAATCCAGGACAATCAACCAGTGATATTGCTATTGCAGCATGGATTGGATGTCATACTTGAAGATAAATATATATATCTATATCATTCATAAGAGTTTGGGGGTTACATATTGGGTGCATCCACCATCTTTGGTTTTCACTTAAGTTAGAATCATAGAATGCTTAAGGTTGGAAGGGACCTCTAGAGGTCATCTAGTCCAACCAGGCAAGGAGAGCACTTAGCCTACTGGCTATCAATCAGAAGAGAACTTGTACAATCGCATGAGAAATCTACCCTAATTGTTATTTGCATTTATTTTCATTCTTCTCCAGTTTTATACTCCATAATATATTTGTGATAATGTGATATTTTCTCACTAAAATAATTACACAGCTATCATTAAAAAGCATTTTTGTGTAGATTTTCCTATTAGGTGAATGTAGGTAGATACTCATCCGAAGGAGTTTGTAGTTGGGGGTGCTTTTTACTGATCTGAAGCAAGAGGCCATCTTACCTTCTGGACTGTCTCTGTGAATCAAACTCTGCTTATAGGAAGCTTTGGAGGGAAGCAGTGTTAAAGACAGCATTACAAAAATCCTAAAGCACTTTATAGGGGAACAAGAGAAAAGGGCCCTAAATTACTGTGTTTCTAAAGTTACTGGAGATTCCTTGTCCTAGGAGGCACTGTTAACAACTGTTCAATCAAGAGGATAGTTATCTTCAAATGAAGACTGATCAAAAATGTGTGTCACCTGGTGAGGATTTAGCAACAGCAGGTCTGAGAAAACATAAACACAGTTCTACTTGATTAGATCCTTTCGCTTTATAACCCCAATGGACTTGCAGAAGAAAACATCCCCAAAGCCTTACTTTTACCTTTCTTTCCTGGCTTAGCTTTTCCTAATTGCAAGTTGTAGCATGCAAAATACAATTTGTATTACATGCAGAAGAGCTTCAGCCCAGAGTTTCAGCGTGTTCTGGGCTAAGATACATTTTCAGGATACAATGAGGGTCTTCTAAATGATAGCACTGACACTCAGCTGATTTTAATTTCATGAAGGGTGGACATTAAGCCTGGACAAAGCTTTCCTCCTTCCTGTATTTCCTTATTTTTAGTAATGTTTTTGCACTGTTTCCAATTCACTATCCAAAGGTGCAACGTTACTGATTTTGCCCAGGGAAAAATGTGCGGCCCACAAGATCCGCATCATCTGCTACTAACTTCTAATATCAACTTTGAATAAATCAGTTGTGGCTAGTGAAAATCTTGGTAAGCAGAGCTAGAAAACCAGTTGAGAGTTGTTTACATTTGTCCAGAATATAATAGGTAGGCTTAGTATAATCAGTGGTAGGCAGTATATCAGCTCACTAAAGCTGCAGTCCTTAATTCATTCCTATGGGCATTCAACAATGTTCTCTACGATTTTAAGTGATTGGGATACTGAAGTAATAATGAAAATTACAACCATGCTACTTAAGACCTATC